CACCATAAAAATATAGCATAGGTATCAGCAGAAAAAGTCAAGTTCCAGGGAAGCTATACATTCGAAGTATCAGGTCAGTCCATAAGTTCGTGCGCATTAAGAGTATGCGTGGAATTTAGTATGACGCATTCACTAAAACAATACAATTTTGAACCTGTTGAAACTTGTCATCGTTTGACTAACATATTATTCAGTTCATCACCAACTTTCGTAAATATCGAACGCATTTCAGTACCAATAGAAGATGAATATAGATAATCAGTACAAACGTGCTGTGCTACATTTTTTTATTTTCGTGTGGTGAATTTGCCAGGTTTGCAACGATAAAAATTAACAGTGTACATGGTGAACACACTATTAGTGTAAGGACTGTCCAGAAATGGTTTCAAAAATTTAAAGTTGCAAAAAGCAGCATTGATAATGAGCCCCTTTCAGGACGTTTTGAACTGTTAGAACCAAATCAAGATAAGATTGTAGATAATGGAGGAAAATATATAATTGATTAAAATGTTAAATTGTGTTTATTTTATATTATTTAAAAATTTACCAAAATATGCGGGCGAATTTATGGACTGACCCACTATTAAGTATTATACATATTTTACACAGCAGCAGTTTCGCAGATAGGAGTAGTAATAAAAGGCCCACCAGCGGCCGAGCGGTAAAGTCGCTGAACACTGGTAGTTCGGTCCGAGGTTCGAATCCCGCGAACGGGCTGGCTGCATGGGCGTTTTCGTGGTTTTCCCCATGTGTAACGTGTATACGAGCCAGTTTCCCTTAGAAAGTCCTCCACGAAAGGCATCCCTCCCCTTAGGCAGATAGCCCTCGTGTGCTTTGCCATAATTAAATACACCAAACACCAAGGAGTAGTAATAAAATAAATAAGGAACTTTGGAGAATTTTCTAAAGGGTGGTATTTTTTATTAATTTTTCCTGTACTCTCAGTTTATGTTCTTCATGTTATTTTTCGTTTCTTTCGAATACGTGACTGCCCTATAATATTCTTTCCCTTCCATTTGTATGGCGTGAAGGTCAAGAATTAACGCTTCGCGTTGAGAGACATAAATCACATTTATCGCACTCTTTGTTTCACTCACACGCAGGTATTTCCCTTATAGCGACTGTCCAAACGGAATCCGCAGCCCATTTCCTTCAGAGCTTGAGAGCGTTAAAGTTGCAGTTAATAATCCAGTTGGAAATTTCGATTGAAAAATAAATTATCAGTTTTCGTGAGCAAAGTGCATTCCGAGATCCTTTCCGCTGTGGGCGTTGGAATTCGTTGCATATGGAGATTGCGGTTTCATCTTATTCCTTATACAGAAGAGGCAGAAATGTTTCCTATGTTGGTCCTCATTATAGATCTCAAATAAACTTTTATTGGATAAGTATTTCAAATATGCCCAACAACTAGTAATACATATAGTACAATATAGATGACAAGAATATTAAAGCAACAATGCATATCGAATAATAGGCTTAAGAATATCTAACGTATCGGTACATTATTGCAATATTTTATAAAATATAAGTTAAAAATATTAGAGAAGCTTAAAAATATATTACATCAAAATCTTTTCGATTCAAACAAAGAGTTTAATAAATGTGAAACAATTGTACACAATTTACAATATAAATACCAAGATACAATTAGAAAATAATGACAATAATAAAAAATTAGATCTAATAGCAGACATACCCTGTTACTACACATATTATAAACCGAAAATTATTCGCTTTGACACTTTCGTTTAAAAATGCTTTGTTTTAAAACATATTTGCACTAAATTTCTGTAAGATCAAATGCATACAATTAGAGCTTTGCTTCATCATTATTTGATCTCTTAATAAAGAGATCAAAGAGAGATTGAATTTAAAGCCTCTATTCTGAGAAGAGAAATAAATAATCATTTCAAAACATTACATTAATATAATTGTATTACATTCCCACGAAATTTAAAGTTATTTCCGAAATATGAAGTTAATATACCTAAGCCATCATATTTGCTGTAAAATTCCAAACGTTTTTGTTATTGGTAGAATTCAGCATATTAAAACATGCAAGTGTTTTTTTTATTGGACTCAGCTTTTTTTCATACAGGTGACTCTTATTTTAGTCATCTTGTTAATTATTCTAGAGTAATACGGCTAATTAAAAGATTACATATTAAATATCAGATTTTGTGCGAGGCAAAATAGCATTATCAGACAAATGCATTTTTTTTCTTATAGTTTAACACATAAAATAGGGCAAAGTATTGGAATTTGGTCTAACGATATTACAATTCTTAACTGTTTAGTGTTTCAGTTTGTATATATTGCGAAATTTAAAATATATGCTCGCATGATTTAATTTTAAGTAATTGTATTATCTTGTTTACACAGTGTCGTTTCTAAATAAAAATAACTATTACATATGTCGAAAAGCTGATGAACTGAGATTAGATTTTCCCCCCCCCCCCCAAGAATTCGTAACATTTCTCTTTACACACAGTTATTTTATCGATATAAATTACATTAAGAATAGGTAAAAAATAATTTCTTTTTGGCCTTGTGAAAAACATCACCTATGTGCAGCCCTCTCTCTAGTCTAAGTTAAGGGTCACTTAAAGCAAAAAGGCGTAGGCATTTTAGAATTTTACTCTGTAATGTTTTATCGCACTTTGAACAATAAGACTGCATTATTCCTCTTACTCGCAGTCCTCTTACTGCAAGATATTTTCAAAATATTTTGCAGTAAGTGGACTTAATTTATATGTTTGACTTGTGTATATTTTAAAATATTCATTTTATAGTACATATGTATTTTAAAAATATATAAAAAGATTCTAAAGTTAAAAGTAATTCGGAGTCAAAGCAAGGTTATTCTTCAACAATATTAATATTAGCCAACAGTTAAAAGCTCAGATTTTATTTTATTTATTTAAAGAATTTTTGTGAAACCTTCTTCATTTTCTTGGCATTAAAAATTTAGTTTAGCATAATCGGGGATCACCCAATTTTTTAGTGTTGTTTAAATGACATTTTGGTTTAAAATATATTATTTTTACTCTTTATAATTATTTGCTTTTGATTTTCAGATTTCCATATAATGATTTTAGACCAGTTTGATTTTTTAATGGTCTTTTTACATAACGTAAAGTTTTGTGTTTTTTTATAGTAGTCCATATAGCACAATGTCATGTTTTATTCGTTTTACCAAGTATTTCGAAGGCGTGTAGGGAAAATCCTGGTACATTTGAGATTCGAGTTTTCGATTTTATATGAACATTAGTGTCTTGTATGAAAATTTAATAGATTCTTTCCTCGGGTTTTGAGTATAAATAAACCAGGAGAACGAAATACTTTTCCGAAGCATATTGATCGACTTTTGTGAAGTTTTAATTCATTTTAACCTGATGTATTCTGAATTGAAGTTTCAGTAAAAAGAGATTAGTTATTATTTTTATACTTTTATTATCTTGTATTTTATCTCTTTTTCATTTTCATTTTTACTTTTAGAGTTTGTACCACTGTAAATTCTTATTTTAATTTTGATATGTTTGGATTTTGTGTTAAACCTCTTTTACACGACTGCTAATATTAATATTATTGAGGTTAGCCTCTTTTACACGATTGCTAATATTAATATTATTGAGGTTAACCTCTTTTACACGATTGCTAATATTAATATTGTTGAGGAATAACCTTGCTTTGACTCCAATTTACTTTCAACTTTAGAAATTTTAAGTCTATTTTAGTTCAATCCTATAGCTATAGCGCAAGACGGGTATTAAAATTTGCTTTTAAATTTAGCCTCTTACTATGCTTCTTATTATTTAAGATATACATACTTATTATATACATGTGTGTATATTTTAAAAATATATATACTTAGGAATATTTTTTGTAGCATTGTCTACAAAAAAGCATCTATAAAATTAGTATGGCCTTGATAACGTGGAAAGAATCTTCTTTTCTAGCCGAAAAAGATGTAACAAGCCTAATTGTATGCATTAACTTTCATTTCGAATGCAGTATTTGAAACATAAATGTTTTCTACCTTTTCTTGTAATTCATTTGGTTTCTAGAACTGTAAATTGGTTTTGCATAGTACTTGAAGCTGGAAGTTCTAGAAACCAAGTGTAATGTTTCTAGTAGTACATTACTGTTCTACCAAAAACAACTGAATTCAGACTTAGAGACTTTGGAAAGAATTATTGATTGGTAGCACGATGAATCTAAGAGCACGGGAATAAGGTGTCTGATGACCAGCTCGTTTTGGCTGAAGAGTCAAAATGAACATATGTATGAATTTTTTATATTTGTTTGACAGGAAAGACATATTACCTTTAAGCAGGTATAAATAGATATTTGTATATTGTCCTTTTGCGAAAGGCTTAAACCTAATCTCCCCTAAGTGTGAACCCTTTTGTGAGATTTTATCTTTAACATTTCGTGTGTTATTGATCATAATTAAAATTAATCAACGAATTTAATTATTCATAAAAGCGACATGGCATTTGTGGTACATCTACATGAATTTTATAAAGCTTGCTTTAAGGGGTGTTGGAAGCCAACATTCTTCCCAAAACTGTGATTTGGGCATTTTCAAATTCTCTACACTTTTAGCTTTCTAAACATATCATACTTTAATCTCTATGAAAATTAGAACAGTAAAAAATCTAGTTTTAATTTATCATTGAACGCTTTGATTAATGATGATTTTACATGAAAATGCGTTTTTCTCCGAATGTGATTTTTTATACTCGATGTACCTTTTCTTGGGAACTTCTATTCACAGGTATGTTAATTTTTATGGCTTATTTATTACGTTTCCTAATATTTACTGGAATGAGCTTTTTGTAATAAACCCAGAACAAAAATTCACAATTTGTTTTGTGAGAAAATTGCTAAATTTTATTATGCATAATACAATATTCTATAAATTACTCTAAAACTCAAAATGTTTCAAAAGCTCATTGCAGTATCATCAGACAGATGTATTTTAATTACACAAAAAATTTCAAACGTGTATATAATGCAAATTTTGAGAAAAAGTGCATTGAAAATGGCCAATTTAACATTGTCAGTATAGCGTGTTCCGACTCCCCTTAAATCTTTAAATCATGTGATAAGAATTGTCAAAATTGAATGTAATTATCGGACTAGTAAAATTTTTGAGATATTAAATTCAATACTGCAAGGATATAATATAGCTTTTCTGAAATTCTGCGCGCTTCCAGACAGCGAAAAACTGCAGTTGTTTAGTAGAGAAATTGCTTGGTTTATAGATATTTAGCACAGGTAAAAGCTTAGTTTTATAACATTCTTACATTTAGCACAAAGTAAATCTAGCAATTAAGTGGTTCACTAGGAGAATTATGAATTTCATTTTGAATGACAAATATGACATTAAAAAGTTTTCTTCCAAAATCCTGTTTCCAAAATTTACTAATCTAAACGTTACTTTTCCTAACATAATTTTTACATATATAATATGATTTATTTCATAAGAACTTTTTTATATAAAAAATGTAGACGAAATAGAAAACGTCATATATTTATTTGTAAAACGTAAATTATTATTTGTGACATGCTTGAGCAATACTTAAATAAATCTGCATTATCAGATCTTCAAATTAACCGTAAGTTAATGATCCTAAAACCCATGTTTGTTTCAGGGTGATGCAAAGGAGCAGATATTTCTGGAACGATTTGTACTTTAGGAAAGAATGTGTAAATTAGATTCGGGTTTCACTTCCAAAAATATTAATTTGAGCATAATATTAAGCAAAAAGGTCATTTAAAGCATTACAAAGAAGTTAAAAAGACTTCATTTTATGATGCTTTTCTTCAACTTTTCTATTTCACTGAAAAATTACTTTTTAAATTCATATATCTTCTACAACAGGATATATTTGAAAAAAATTGAAATGTTTCCATTGTATTTTACATCCAAAGAAATAAACAACTTATTAGTAAATAACAACAGTGTTGGCGACACGATGTAACATCAATAACAAATATGCGTATCATTGCATTCAAGAACACAGATATCGAAATATCGCTTGCAATGACAAGACATTATCCATTTGGAGACACACAGGGCAAAATCCTGTTCGTTGTATAACATATGTATATCAGTGTATATATTTATACAGATATAAATAGTTGAAGAAAAAGAAGTGTTACAAATATCTCCTTGGAAGAGAAACAACTCCTTATTTGCTTCATTTGAAGTATCTGTGTACTCCAATGGTAGCACCACAGTTTGGGCAAGCATGTAGAGTGTCTTTGCAAGTTGGAGCTATCAAAGGCACCCAGGCACAAGGTGTACTAGAAAGGGGAAAATAAGAAACACAATTGTAAACTAATTAATAAATAGAAATACAGAAGCTGTTCGCAATTTATGCGGCATGAGGGCACTCTAAACATGCGACGAGCCGAAAGTCCTCTCGAGAGGTTGGTGGTAGAGAAAGAAGGGTGGGATACTCTCGCAATCATTCCCCCAGGGTGCTCTCCATCAACAATTAGGAAAGGAACTGAGCTACATCGCACTCTCACCTGGAAAGTCGTCAGGGCTGTTGCCAGTGGCAGGCGTAATCCTGCGCTCCTTGCAACAAGGAATTTCGTGGGCTATACGTCAGACAAGTAAGCATTAATCCACAACAGCAACAAGATAACATTCTAAGCGTATTTAATCTCTTTTGTTATTATCTCTTTTGTTGCATTACTCTAATATGATTATTATTTGTTCTCAGTGCTTGAAGTAAGATAACTTGTAAGTATCGCTTATAAGCTTTCAATATTTTTGGTATTTACTGTATATATGGTACTAGTTCCTGTACAGGTTTAATTTAAAACTCTGCAGAAGAATATAAAGCAATCAGCTCATTTTAAGCTTTACAAAATCAAGCAGTCTGCAGTATGAGCTGGCACTGAATATATTTAGCAATATTTCGGAAAACTTAGCATTGTAAGAAAGAAAGCTCTCTTCCTTCAAATTGGTCATAAAGTCAAGTTTAAAGGGCGAACCATATCTATGGGATACTTATCATTATCTAAAATCTCCAAGGAAAGTCGCCTAATTTCACGTTTTACACATTCAGAACATGCATTCTTTTTTAAAGACAATTCATTTGTCTCTTGTGCGCTGGCATTTTACCAAATATCATTTCCCTATAACGGAAGGATGTGTTTAAATTTTCTTTTGTAAAATCTCAAAAAATATATTTGAATGACAAAACATCATTGAAGACACTTCTAAAAGAAAACGATTCTTATATTCAACCAAATCTTTAACGAATCCATGTTATCTATGTAATTCCCCTCATTTATTGAATCAATCATTTTAACACTTCCGTGTTTCTTATTGCAATTTTTTTCGTTATGAAACTCTACAGATATTTGGGATACAGACTAACGTGTTACCAAACCTATGTAGTGACAAAATATCGTTCCCCTCCTCTCGAAAAAATTTTCAAAAAGATAAAAAATTAAAAGTTAATTAAAAAATATTAAAACTAATTCACAAAAGTTCAAAATTTAAACAAAAATATCCAATTCCAAATGGACAAGAAAAATGAAAAGAAATTCTGATTTTTATATAATACTAGCGGAAGCACTCGATGCCAGTTACGTTAGATTGAGAGTAATGTATCTAACAACAGAGAGAACGATACCGCTATAATCCTTCCCCAATAAAGACGGAAAAAATATGATTCATACTCGGACATTTTTCAGGCCGTGCGATATGAAACCCATATAGAAAAATAAACTAATTCTCTCTCATTATATCAGCAAGAATGGCGCGCAGTTTTTAATAATTTTTGTTTTTCTAATGAAATGGTCGTGAAAGCTCGAGTTCCATCCAATACTTCACCTATATTGAATTTTAGTCGATTAGATGTGGCAAAACCTTGATCATAATTGATCAGAAATTAATAATGCGAACAAACAAACACACAACATAGATCTTTATAGATTTTGTAAAGCTAATAATTTTTTTATTAACAAACTCTATTGTTTGAACGCGAGCAGTAGAAATACTTCTCCAAATAAAGCATTTTTATCTCCAACGCTCGAGATTGTTGCCACTCAGAAAAATGATTGCGAAAATTAGTGTTTTCAGAGTTTTAAAGTAATATCTCGACTGATTCAAGTCGTACGCAGATGGCAATAGGAAAATAGCTTTCCAAGAATTTTTGGAATCGGGAATAAAGTATTTAATGTTTGCCAATGGCTATTTTTATTTCATTGTACAACTCTATAATTTGAGAGCCCCACTTCTCGAAATAAAGCAGATTTTTGTCTACAGCATGAGAAACTGTTGCCAATCGGAACAATGAAGACGAAAATTAGCGTTTTAAGAGTTTCTAATTAATATCTATGATTTCAGATACTTTTTGGAAAACTGTGAACGTCAACCTTTCCCAATACCCAGAAAATAATTGTAGAAAGTTGTTGCAGCGACGATAGCTGTTGCAGAGACTGAGTTAATCGCAATAAGAAAAAAACAGACATTCTTCTTTATATATATATATATTGGTCGTCATCTCGGATTAGCTAGAGAACACACAATCAAGATTTATCCTTTTTTATTCAATTTTTGGATAAATTTTAGATTAAAATGTTTTAAATGAATAAACGTTATGAATAAATGAAATAGTAATTTTGTAAAAAATCTTTACCAGAAATGGTTTTGATTTACTTTTTATTTTTCTTATTTTTCCTAACTATGTATTATGTATATAGATAGTATATTAACAGTTAAAACTAATTGTTTTACAGGTTATTTTTCCATTATTCTAGAAAATGATTTTTAGTCAAAAGAAGTTTTATTGGAAGGACTATTGTTTTCGTTTCGAGATTTTGCGTTGAATCACTACAAATGTCCGTTTCACTTTTCAAACTGTTGCCACGAAATGTTAGAGTCCCGCATTATATTTGAAGAAATTAAATAATGAAAAATCTGCATAAATGTATGTCTATTTCTTGCATTGTGATAAAACAACGGTACGTAGAGCCATCGAATATTTAATGACGTAAACCTCCTACGAATATGGGCACGTGGAAGACCTAATTTGAAATTTGGAATTTGTTTTATTATCGTTTCATATTAATGAATTTTTGATTAACAAACTCAAGGATTTCAAAGCGAGCAATGGCAACACTCTACGAAAAAAAAAAAAAAAAAAAAAAGAATTCTTTGTCTACAGAAATGCGCGCGGAACTGTGTTTCGGAAATTCTAAAGATAGGCTCATTTTAAAAATATTTTGCGACATTGCTATTGAACGGAATTTTATGGTTTAAGTGCAAAGAACATGATATTTAATAAAGGTAACCCACAAAACGTTAAAAAAAACGCCCATTTGGACGTAATTTAAAATCTGAAACCTTTCAGATTTTTTTATTGTTGTTGTTGTATTGCATTAATATATATATATATATATATAAGATTTAACCTGCTAATATTTAGGGTAGATACATTTACAAGGCTTTTAAATAGTTTATGTTTTTAAGTAGTTTTATTCATAAAATTAGCCATACTTAAAACTTACGAAGGTCATACTCACCATAAGAAGAGCGCCACCAAAACAGAAAAGAAAGAACAGACACCATTATGCCTAGAAATTTCGGTGACAACTCGCTGGCCACAGTTCTTGCATATGAGTTCAACTGGATCTCGACCAAATGCCATTCGTTCGACGCAGGAAGCATGGACAAGTAGTGTCAAACCTTTGTCAGCTTCACACTCTATACGAAGAAAAAAAAATGTTACAAAAGTATTCATGGGGGCACTGCAAATATGCGACGAACCGAAACCCTCTCCAGAGGTACAGAAGGCATCAATTATTTTCTATTCGTGGTTGGGGTGGTTATAGAAGACAGCTTGAATCTGCTGCATAGATGAAATTTTGGACTTGCATTCAAATGTCGCCGTCGTGAAGATCAAATACATTCTATTCTGGAACAAACCAATTCTTTATAATCACATTCCCATTGCAAATCATTCATCCCAATAGGTTCAATCTGCATCCCACAATTTTAAGTACAGTTATGGCATTTTTGACCAGTGGACAGAGGAACAGCGAGATACAAGTTAGTCAAGCAAGAAAAGCATAAAAAGAAGCTGAGTATTGAAAATTTGGGGTATTTATAAGCTTGACTTCTTTGTTTCAGTTTAAATGGAGACTGGAGAAGAACTCACAGCATTGCGGATCGCTTCAGGTGAAACTAATGACTTAAATGATGCAATGCAGATTCCTTGAAGGGGGTTGTATCTAAATTTAAATTAGAAATTAAAAGGCAATTGCCGAATTAAATTTGTTATTTTTAATGGTTTTCTTTCGTATTTTATATCAATAAAAATTCATACAAGTATATTCAATAAAAAGAAAGAAGAAATAGACATAAAAGGACAATGAAAGTATAATTCGTGCAGGGTCTATTATTACGGGCTATTTGGGAAAAATTGTTGTCATAATACTAATGCAGATAAAAACAACTAAACTTTACAGACAGGAAACACATTACTCTACCCGCCGCTTATTAAAATCACTTTCGTTCCAATTATATTTGAGTTTACTAAGTGGCTGAGACGGAGATCTGTGTACTGTATACACTGGTATCAGTTTTAAATTTATATAAAAAGATAATAAACTGATAACCAGTCTAATAGTTAGTACCTAAAATAATGATTAAAAATTAATGATAAAATTAAACAACTTACATTATTTTTAAATTTATTTTTAAGAATATATTATAAATATATACTTGGTAAACTTTTATTTATTTGTTTAGTATTATTCGACAAGTTTGACATTTGTACTCTCAACTTCGTAAAACTGCTGGCGAAGTTCCTGAGCAGTACCTTTCAGCTCAATAGTTTTTCTTAGAATTTGTGTGCTTTTCTGGATTCGAATAGATGTTATCGTATCATTGCATTGATCCGTATCACTTTTATTGTCAGTTTTCAAAAACTTTTAAACGTTATCTACAGTAATAAAACCAGATTTTTTACATGTTGTGTCAATATTTTCCTCAGTCGACACATTTTTTAAAGCCAATCTTCATTACTTCCTCACCGATGTCTAAAACATTAACTAAAGTTTGAAATTCCTCTCCTTCTAAATAAGTTACCTTTTTTTAAAACAGTTTTTATGTGTCTTGTAAAACAATGTCTGACAAGAAAAAAGAGGAAAGAGTAGAAACATTTCTGTCCTACACGTTTTATTTAAGCGCATCGATAACTGAATAATAAATAAGTCACCGCCCACAATAAAAAGCAGCTTTGACGGGTAAAAATAAGATATCCTCGCACTGAAGAATCAGCTTTTATTAGCCCAAATATAATAGCCCGGAAGGGCTGTTGGTCTGGAAAATGCATTTTGCGTCAGTTCAAATATCCATTCTACTTTTCAAATTCTTGCCACTAAACATTATCTCCCTAAATAATACTATTATATTATTTTTGCCTAGAGAAATTAAATAATGAAGAATCTGCATGGACGTATGTATGTTTCGCGCACTGTGAGAAAACAACGGTACCTAAGAGCCATCAAACTTCGGATAACGTAGTTCTCCACCCAAATATAGGCACCTGTAAACCCGAATTTGGAATTTCGGATTTGTTTTATTGCCTATTTCATATTTAGTAAAACGTCAACGAATTTTCGATTAGCAAACTCAACGATTTCGAAGCAAGAAATGTCAAAACTGTAAGGAAAAAAAATATTTTTATCTCTAAACTCCTTATGCTGTCTATCAGAAATTCTAAAAATATGTTGTTTTTAAAAATTTTTAGTTCAAACGGTGTAAACAAGAAAACGCCTCTTTGGGCCTAATATAAAATATTAAGGATTTCAGATTTCCTTTTTTTTTTTTTTATTTATTTTATTTATTTATTTATTTTTAACCGATCTGAGCTTTATAAGATGTGGAGATGAGCTTATTAAACGGTGACTCTTATATTGATTTGTATATATATGTATCTTGGTTTCTAGATATATGAACGTAATAAGAGGATGATTTTATTAAATGAGCGCAGTCGGCAATGTATTTAACCCCTTAAGGAGGGAGAACGAAGCGCAGTAACGGAACCGGACTCGCTGAAATGGATCGTCGAAACCGGCCCGCGCATTTTTAACAGTTAAGCCTAATTTTACAGAAAAAAATCGTATAAAAAATCATTCATTTATCAGCATTTTGATATTATGACTTGAGTTTTTGAAGTTGCGTACGGAAAGGTGGAGTGTTTTGGACAAATTTTTAAGTTTTTAAGTAAGGTCTCTTAGCTATGGCTAACGGAATGAATATAACCCTAACACATGTCCCAAAACTTCTTCAAAAGACACTCAGAAATATTTCATCCTCAAAGACTGTGTGACATCAGGTTTATATTAGAAAACGTTCTATTTTTCTAAATCGAAAACGAAAGCGTCCACGATGACCGAAAAGTGATCAAGGAAAGACCCCCTCCCATTGGCGGGATATCCATTACTGATAACGTCAATATATGCATTATATGTAAAGTAAATACTTTATATACAAAAATATAATGCCTGTGTCATTATATACGACCACTCAAGGCAGTATATATAAAGACCAATTAAATCGAGTAAGAAAAACAAAAACGCTGGCTCTTTCCTGAGAAATGCGAGCAAGATGCATTACGCGTCTAGAAACCTGACAGTCTTTCCCCTTCTGTAATAATGTTGTAATGCTACTTTTTAATAAACCAAGAAAGCTTATGTTAAGTCTCAAAGTAAATAGAAAAAAAAAAGAAAGAAAGAAAATCCTAACGAAATAAACAAAAACGCCTATTACCCTTTAATTCACTGGCGCACTAAAAGAGCCGTGATTTTCAGTTTGTTTATTTCAATAAATCTATCAAAACCAGAAGCACAAAACAGAAACTCATGCCAAGTATATGAAGGTCAAATGCCGTATGAATCAATCCATGTGAAAAAAATTACCACTTAGCTCCATTTACTGGCTTTTAAAAATTCAAATAAATAGTTCCGTTTTAACGTCACGTATACGCGACGCTGGGCTGGTAAGGAACAAACATTTTGCGTATACGGTACGCTGGGCTGGTAAGGAACAGAAATTTTGCGTGTACGGTACGCTGGGTTGGTAGGAGTGAAATTGTTGCGTCGCGTATACGTGACGCTGCTCCTGAACGGATTAAGTACTAAAACAATGAAATACTGGAAACAGAGATGTAAAGTGATAAGCCGGAATCTAATGCTTACAATGAAATGAAAATAGAGTACATCATACAAATATGTAGATACAGTAAATGCAGTGTGCAATATGGATATAGGCAGACAGTCAGTGCATACATAATTAGTTCTGAGTGTGAGAATGCAGTGGATAGAGATATATTATGCGCATGTAATCGATATATGTTTTAACATTAATGGAATTCAGAATAAACGGTAAAGTGTTTCCTTAGGCATTTGGGCCCATTTATTGGATAATGTGTGTGTAACAAATTAATGCATGCTGACAAATTAATGTATGCTGACAAATGCTAACAGGCTGACAAATTAATATCTGTTGGCACGAAACATTGAAATACTTAATGTTTTCTCTCCTCTATCTTTACAATCCTGTCACTCTCACCATTTTTTGAGCCTGCATATTTTGGCTTTTATTAGAAATTTGCCCCATATTATATTTGAAAGCATTACATCAGAAAATTGTTTCAGATGAATTAGGAGTTGAGTGAATTCGTGATTTTTATAACTGTGCTAAATCTCAGGTAAAGCGGAGAGTTTTCTTTCCTCCATCATTTGTAACCGAGGTTCAATAGTTTCTTACCCCACCTTTCTATCACAGACTCTTTAAACTATATTCGAAGGTATTTTAAGCACCCCATGATGCACAGACCTTACATACGTAGAAACACCCTGTCCGTCTTCGGGATTCGAACCCAGGAACAATGGTATAGCAATCGGTACCTCTAACCACAATATTTATCGGAGTAACATACAAAGCTCTTTATTTATTAATGACAAAAGCAACGAAAAGTCGAACGCTTCTTTTCAGAAGAAAAACATATTATTTAGCGTTAGGAATATCAGCTGTACTTGAAAGATATTACATAAATATGGATACATTTCTAACAAGGTTTATTAATATTAATTTTAATATATATTTAAGATCATCTTCGCATATGATAAAAATGTACACTATATTTAAATCGTCAAATGATGCAATTGAATTAATATCAGAAATACTGTTTCCGAAGTATGTCAGAACTTCATTTATAAAATTAGAAAAAAAAAATGTTCTATAAATCAGTATCGCAAAAAGCTAAATTTATCAGAATGGTGGTTTAATTTTGCAGATTTGCTTTGCTAAGGACATTCAATATGCCTATTAAAAAATTAAATATTAAAGAATTATATTTCATCGTGTTTTAGATATTAATGCAAATTATTTATTCTTTTGGATTCTGACACTGAAAACGAGTTTCCTTCTTTTAGTTACTTAAAGATTATAAATACGAAAAAACTTCAGGGTTTAATTTTTTTTCGGGGGGGGGTTACTCTTTTGTCCTGTCTATTGAATCAATTGTCTATTGAATTATGGCATCAATTTTATAATTTCTATTTAGTTTAAAGAGTGCTCTGCAACATTTGTATCTATACATATCCATACCGTGTTTAAGAAACTGACGGCACTTGACTTTCTGTTTAACACATCGTGTTAAACATAAAAACAAGAAATGAATTAATATTTATAAATGTGTTTAGCTGACAAATCGGCCTCAACTCTAGTTTGGATTGCTTGTTTTATTTAATTATGGCAAAACACACGAGGGCTATATGCCTAAAGGAAGGGATGCCTTCGTGGAGGACTTTCTAAGAGAAACTGGCTCGTATACACGTTACACATGGGGAAAATCACGAAAACGCTCGTGCAGCCAGCTCGTTCGCAGGATTCAAACCTCGGACCGAACTACCAGTGTTCAGCGTCTTTACCGTTCGGCCGCTGCATCTCTAGTTGGGAAACCAGCCTCTTTGGGAAGAGGGCCACCATCTAAGAAAAAGTTTACGTGCGCCGCTTCCAACTTTTCCAACAATACTAAAAAATTTAAAAAGATGAAAAGTATTACTTATAGTCTGATTATGGGATTTTTACTCAAATAGCACATTTTTTGTGTAAGTCTGAGTAATAGACATTTAAAAAATAATATAAATGAAACAAACGTACAATCTAGGATTTTATTGTCAATACACATTTTTAAAATTTCACTCAGGTTTATGTATAAAATAAATATAAATAATTTGAAACATTTAGTTCTAAATAACTATTAAACAGCCTGTAGTAAATTAATGCGTTTTTTTACAAAGTTATTCATATTAGGATTAGTTCTTGAAGATGGTAACAAAATTTGGTGTTTCAGATGCACATCAATTAATCTTCAACGATATATTGATTTGATTATGTTCATAATAGAAAACATTTGTTCACAAACATATATTTATCTAAACATATGATAATATCTGACAGCATAATGGTATAAATTTGGAAAATTGCTTGTTGGCAAAATTTTACAAAATTCAACATTGTTTGGGTCAATTGCAGTTGAAATAATTGCTTTTCAGAATAGTCAATAATTTCGACTTGGATTTCAGTTGGTTAACAATTAACTTCTTGCTGAGAAGCTGAATTATTATATTTATTCTAATGTATTTATGTAATTCTTCTAATGTAACGTGTATCTATCGACAGACTTAATACAGACGATATTATTATTATTATTAAATCTTTTAATTAAGTCTTCGCGTGCCACTGAAATTCCGCCGAACCACACTGTGGCACACGTGCCGCTGGTTGGTCATCCCTGCTCTGAAATGTATTCCACATATGTAAATTCACACATATCTAAATTTAACGCATATCTAAATATATCTAAATTTAACACATTTACAGCACACATATCTAAATATATATAAATCTTAAATCTAAATTTTAGATTTATCTAAATCTTAAATCTAAGATTATTATATCTAAGATTATTAATCTAAGATTATCTTAGATTATTATTTTAATCTAAGATTATCTTATTTATTATATATCTAAATCTTAAATATATCTAAATATCTAAGCCTTAAATTAATTTAACACATATCTGAATATATCTCAATCTCCACGTATCTAAATTTAACACATATCTAAATTCTTTAAATATTAAAATTAGTAAAATTCTTCAAAATATTCCATTCTATGCTTATTAAAACATCATTTTGCTGTGCTATGCTAAAAACAAAACTAATTCTACGTATTTAACTTATATTTATATTGTATTTAAGTGCATCATTTATTATTAAAATCGAAAGAACCTCATGAATGTTGGACGAAAATATGCAAGCGAATTAATACGTAGTAAATAGACTTTCGCCGTCCTTATATAATGGTGGTTAATTGAGACCGCCATAATATTTTTGAGTTCAAGTTCGAATCCAGGAAAAGAACATGAATAACTATTGTAAATGTGTAATATCTTGTTGGCAAGGCTTGAAAATCCATCAAATATGTGGTGTCTTTGATGTAGTGATTAAAATCCATCAACCACAAATTTAATTCGCTAGACTGGTAGCAAGGGAAAAAGAAGGTTTACGAGATCCTCGGATTCTGTCATCTAGCATATTCTTGATTAAAATTTAGAATTTAACTGGGACTAATAAAGCGTTCGTAGCTTTGGCTAAGGACAGACATTCTCTCTCCCACCCATACTCATTAAGGAAGTTAAATGCTGAAGTAATGATTAAAGGACAATAATCGGCGCAATGTTAAAAGATTAACAAACAAATTCAGTAATCTGAGAAAATTAACAATTCATTAAATGAAAGCCTGAAGCAGCTGTCCTCTTTAATATGTTGTAACTTGGCATATGGACCTAGTTTAAAGACAAAACATGCTACAATTATGACATATTTCTAATAACACTTCTTACTATTTATCAAAACTAAAATTGCTTACGAATGGACAGTTTATGGAGCAGGAGCATTTATTTACTAGATACAGTACATTTACTGCGCAGATAGGTTCAAGAATTAATATATACTTGATATAATATTTTATAGTATAATATTTAGCAGTTTTATGATCACAAATATATGTTAAATCTATTCCAAGTGTACAGATACGATTACATGCAACATAAACCATTTCAATATACCCAATTTAGACATTTCTTCACTGTAGAAAATGAAATTAGGTTAGGATCGTACCTTTAAAACTTTAAATAGGTTATTAATTTTAAATCTATAAAATTTTCTAGACAATACAATCGACATATTTGTTACTATGCAATGCATATATGTATAGCGAATTACGTAATATTGACCACATGTGTTTCCAACGGCATTATGACTAGTGTTTCAGCCATTTGCTCATTTCTACGCTTATACAATTTAGTATCGAGCTATGTTTCTAAGCTTTCACACGTTTAGCAGTCACAACAATCAAACTCAATCGAATAAATCAACAAAATTTCGTGTCGAGACTGCCACAGACTGCACGACATCGCTCGATAAAGGTGCGCTGGAAGCGAGCAGCTACGTCACTGGCCATGTATTCACTTTCATTACGCCAAAGCATCGCCAAAATTGAGTTATGTTCTAAGGTAAGGATAAAAAGATAAATAAATTTCTTACTTTCCTTGACGTCCCCCATGGGAAAGCTTGTATGTGGCAAAGAAATGTCAGTATCAAGGATGGAAGATGCGTGTTAAAACCAGCGTTTGATTCTTTTTTAGAAATGGGAGAATGGGAACTGCCCTGTTGCCATGGAAACTGAGACAGAGTGGCGGCACTCCACAAACATGATCGTGCTTTCTTGTTTACGTTCTCTATTAAGATTGAATAGACGTTGCTTATATATATATGTAAGGAGTGAAAATAGGAGTTAATAAACGTTCGTTTCAGTATTTGCTAACGTTAGTTTGAGGGTCATTAATGGCCACACAGGCGTCTGAAAATATTTTATTCTCTCTCTCTCATTTAAATCGATAAATGTGGTTACAATGTGACACCAATTTGACAGCTGCAATTACGGAAAAATATCTTACTGCACTGACCGTTCAACTGCTTGCAAAAGGAAAGGAAATGAAGGAGAAAGCAAGGAATTGCAAGGGAATTAAATTTTGATAACATATTGTATTTTAAATCATTAATTTCAAAACTGAAATGCTCTCCATTACAAATACCACAGTAGTAATTTTACCCAGAAATCAAAATTTTGAAAAGCAATAGCTTCTGTTAATAACTTTTGTCCAATGTTAGTATGATACATCTTAGTAAAAACAATTGAATTGTTTCATAGATTTATTACATTTGGTGATAAAACCTGTGTGCACCAAATGTAATAAAATGATTTATTACATTTGGTGCAAATAATACACTACTTTATAATTTAGTGGTTTTCGTTTTAAATTTACAATTAAATAATTATGTTAATTAATTTACAACTAAATAATTTTTAAATTTACAATTAAATAATTATGTTAATGTATCGAAGAGGAGCATGCCAAATTACGCAAATTTCAAATTTACGGAAACGTTGTGCTTTCAAATTTACAAATGTATAATACAGATTAATGAAGAGATTTTCAGGCACAATATTTTTAGATTTTCAGACTCTAATCTCCATCGAGAGGACATGTGACCTAAGGTCTTTATAGAGACCAAACGGACTAAAACATTCAGATGGCACATTTTTATTAATTCCTAGTTAGAAATGTATCGATTTACATAAATTATTTCGTTACATTTCCCTAGACATGCTGTGCTTTTGCGTTTTACTTTCCATTAATACGTTGTAGTTTGCTGATATGATTCAGAATCTGAGTAATGATACGTAAATAAAAATTACAGTAGGATATTTACAAATTTGCAACAAAAATGTCCTACGACGACTTACATTGAATCCTCGAATTGTAAAGAGTCTTTGAATTCGATTGTATTATTTCGTTATGACAAAGCTCACTATGACTTTCTGTGTAAGGGAAGGGATGCCTTCTTGGAGAACGTTTTAAGGAAAATTGAACTTATATTTGATGGAAATAGCAAAAGCGCTGATGCATCCAGCTTGTTCGCCTACATTTGAATCTCAGTCTTTTTGTTTGAACCTAGAGTCAATTTGCAATTAAACTTTGCTTGTTCTTAATCACACAATCTTCTATAAACTGAGTATTCTATTACATTTAGCAATATTATATCTGGTGGCTGTTTGGTAACTTTACTGCATAGCAAAACATTTACTGCTGATGAATGTTACCCCTCTATCAAATACCTGCACATCTGCTTCTCAAAGGTCCATCCAGAATGGCCGTAAGTCGTTTGTCCCTTTTACCTCCCAGCGCACTGCATTCAGTTTGCAAAAGAGTTTGGTTCAGACGGAGAGGAAGGACACACAAAAATAAGCAAGATTTACTTGAAATTCGAATCCGCCTCATAGAATTCGGACTCGTAGTTAATCTCCAATTAGCCCTATATCGTTCAGGTCGACCTGTTGGCAGAACTGCAGGTCGGTGTTTTAAAACACCATATTCATTTGCGTATTGCACTCTTATTTTTTGCTAATTAATCGTAAAAAATCAAGAAAGGAAAGTTAGAGTAATTAAAATTCCAAAGGATGCGATTACAATAACAACATAGCAAATGAAAAGTGTTCATGGCCGTTATTATCAAAATATTAATTAGTTAAAAGAAATCTTCATTTCAGTAATAATACATAGACGCTAACATTACAGTAACTAATAAGTATTTTTCTTTGCTATTTCCCTGTATCTCTGTATCTTATTACTGTCCACTGCAACTGCTTAGGCTCAAAACATTTAATGCTCCTGGAACTGCTGCCTATGTCATTTACTACAGTTTGCAGTCCTCACAGGTTTTATCGTTCGTCACCGATCGCTCTGTCCTACTACGTGCAAAATTTTAGAATCTTTAGGAGTATTAGATATCCCAATATTCTTGAAACTCTTCCTTATAATTATTTCATCATTCAGTGCCCATACACCCAAAAATGTATGAGTCGTTCTATATCGTATGCAAGAATTATCCTACATGTATTGATGCATGCGTACGGGTTCGTAAGGGAGTGAATGCCCACAGAGCTGATGAGAGCGTTATAAAATTTATTATCGCAAAAGAAACATTTTATATTTCTGAAACTTCCCACGAAAACACTCTCACAGCTCTTCTCAGTACATAACACAATCAGTAGTTACCACTTCAAACTACTAATAACGTTAAACACAACGCAGTGCAAAGAACACACAAAGACCGAAGCTGCACATAAGATCTCTCAGTACTTCTAAGTGAAGTCTTTGAACTAATTATCGATCTACTTAAATATCCCCGAGATTATAGCACAGAGAGCAAAGTCTCCAGCTCAATAATATTATGCTATTTTAGTAATTCACTTAGGTGTTTCTGGAAATGCATTCCCAAAGGTAAGTCGAAATTGGCATAAGTTAATAAAAATTACATCATTTGTAATTTAATTCATTTTAGAGAATGCTAGAAAATGTAGAGGAATATGATAATTATTTAAATACTTTTATGACACACTTGCTAGAACCATTAATTGCAGTATATTTAAAATCATCAAATTATGACGTAGCAGAGTGCAATTTAAAAGAGTTCTTCTCAAAACGGAGAATTATAAAAATGTCTGTAACCTTATACAATGAGCAAATCGAATAAATCTGTCCTCAGAAATAGAGCTCACAGACTAAATTTTCGCAGTTGTATGCCTAGAAAACATTATTAGTAGAACAAAGATCCTTTTTTCTTCTTTCTTCTGCTTTCTGTAATAGGATTACATCTGATATGGAAAAGTTTAGCAAAGATACATTTCATTAATGAGATATTTTCCATCAAATACACTCATGTCCATTAATTAAGGATAATGCAAAATCAGGCAAAGGAAGAGTTAGAAGCAAAACAAATTTGACTTATTTGTAAAGCTTATTTATTAAACAAAAGGTAAAGAGAAAAAAAAAAGTGCTATATGCTTGATATTATTAAAAAAAATTAGCGATTTTTTCTCCCTGGAGCAAATTACAAAAACAACCTATTTAAAAAAAAACAATATTACATGGTTGGTATGATTGTCAATACATTGTATGTCTCCCAGACGATGCAATACAGTCCGTACAACGCCTAGGCATGCTGAGTATCAAATTATTGATCTGATCTTGGGGGATATTACACCACTCAAAAAGCAATGCTCTCCGAAGTTCCGGTAGACATGTAGGAGGAGGTTGACGTGCTGCAACCCGTCGGCCAAGAATGCCCCACACGTGCTTTACTAGATTCAAGTTTGGTGAGAATGCTGGCAAGTCCATACGGGTGATATCCTCCGATTGAAGGCATTCGCTTACGATGTTTGCACGGTGAGGACGGGCGTTGTCATCCATAAACACAAATTCTGCGCCCATGGCGCCCCGAAACAAACGTACTCAGAATGTTGTACTCGTTGTTCCAGAAGGACTTCCCGACAGATTTGTCTTGTCATGGTTCCAATTTGAACATGCAGGTCAGTTCTGGAACCCAGAATAATTCCACCCCAAACGAGCACTCCTGCACCACCGTAACGGTGTCGTTCAATGATGTTTTCTTGGTGGTAACGGGTACCTGGAGCTCTCCATATGAAAGTCCGGCGAGAATCAGACTGCAAGCTAAACCTGGACTCGTCGAAAACATTACACAAGCCCACTGTTGCGGTGTCCACAATGCATGCTCTCTACTCCAGGCTAACCGCAGGCGACAGTGAGTTGCAGTAAGTGGAACGCATCTAACAGGTCTACGAGCATATAGACCAATCTGCCCTAAGCGTCTGTACACGGTCTGCCTTGAAATTGTCGTACCAGTGACTGAAGAGAGCTGACGAAACAGGTCTGAGGCTGTGCTCCGCCTGTTTTCTTTTGGCAGTAACTGCCAAATACCGGTCCTCATTCGGCGTTGTGACTCTTTGGCGACCTATGCTGTAACGTCTACTCACATTACCATTATCTTAGAATCGTTGCCAAAGCCTGGAGATGATACTCTGGGCAATTCCAAGTTCGTCTGATACTTCCAGTTGAGTACGCCCACATTCCAGACGGCGGATAATTCTACCACGTAAAAAATCATCCAAATGCGCCCTTTGTGTCATAACTATTCGGTTATTCACTGAAATGCTTATAAAGCGCCTGCGAACAATTTTACTTCTTTGCCTATATTCCTTATATATCACTCTCTTGCACTCTCGTCATTGTGACGTACCATCGGCGTCATCTGGTTACTTCCTGAAATTTGCATATGATTCTTGAAGATGTGTTTAGTAATTTCGCAGGTGATATATTTATTTTAGAGTTCGATTTCCGCGTGACTCCGAATGATGCTTAATTTATGGGCATGAGTGTAGTTTGTTAATTACAATTCTGGAGATCCAAAGTCCGCTATCTATGTTTTTTTTTCCTTTTCTTTGGATTGCTGTATTTTTAGATTAGCAAAGATTTCGTTGACTACTTCCTTTAAAATGTATTCTTAAGTAACATGCACCTGCTTGAATAATTTCGGATTTTAATTGTATTAGTATTTTAAAAGGTAAGTAAAAAGTTAATGTCCGCCCTTTGAAACTTTGTTCTCTTTCATACGAAACTTAATTACATTTTTACGGAAGCTTTCCTTGTTGTGATTATTAACTGTTTGACTTTATTTTCCTTCTGAACCGACTGATAGATCC